GCGATTTCTTAATCTCAAGAAATTGCAATTTTAAGATTTGCATTCAGGTGATGCAATTCTTTTGACCGCCACTGTATCTCGAAAAAAACTTTTTTGTGATTTTTTTTTTATCTGTTAAAGAAAATGAATAACCTCAATTATTTTTTTTTTAAAAAAAAAATTGAACGTTTCGCGCTAATTTATCAAAGAAATTCAATATTAAATTTTAATCTAACAGAAGATAGTCATTGTTGGCCTAAATTAGATTTTATGTATTTGAAAAAATGATAAATTTAAATCATTATTTAAAATTCAATCGCGAACATGTATAAAGTTTTGTACTAAATAAAAATTATTTGAAATTAAATAATAAAAAAAAATTTTTTTCGAGCAACCTACAAAAATTGTCCTGAGTATAACTGCGCCATAATCTGCGCAACGCAAAAATTATATTATCGTTATCAATGACTTTATTACATCATATTATCTAATGGATTTTGTCTTGTTATATGTCGTCATTTGAACAAAGTAATATCCCTTTTTAGTATAAATATTCCCACAGAAAGAAAATCTTGTCCAAAATTTTTCACCTCTAACCATTTCAAGAAAAAAAAATGGTAAATTAAAAAACATTTTTGTTTTGAACTTGTGATGAAAAGAAATTCTAACTATATTAATTTTTAGGCACAACAACCAAATTATACTAACATGTCCCAAGCCTTACAAACACTTGCCCACGAAGTTACTTTCGTCCCAAATATGCTAAACGTGAACGTTGTAGACCAGTTAACAATAATTCAACGATCACTCTCAAATTTGACTGATACGGTCACAAATTTGACTGATACAGTCACAAACTTGTCTAATACAGTCACAAACTTGACTAATACAGTCACAAACTTGTCTAATAGAATCGATGGTTTGACCATCACTATTCAAGCAACGTATGCTTTTTTTTTGTTTATCCCATAAAATAAAGAAAAAGTCGGTGATAATTGATATTTATTTATGTTTTAGGGACACGCGAAATCTAGCAAGAATTTTTAACTCGCGCTTATCCAGTCCAGACTTACAATTGGAAATAGTTCCGGACATGGCTGGTAATGTCCCACAAAACTATCCCCAATCGATCACTGCATTTCGGGAGATGACAGGTCTGTATATTAGCACAATCTCAACTTTCAAAACAATTAAAATCATTTTTACTTAATCAATCAAATCATATATTTAGACCATAGTTTAAACTCTCTCATGGCATTCTACGGGTTGCCAACTACTGGTACTGTTGAGGCTCAACGAAAACGATTTGCAAAATACATAGGTGTCCAATTAATTTAATCGTTATAGCGATTATTACATTTAATATATATTTTCTTTTTTACTATTGCTTATGGTACATGTAGAGCATTATGTATTAATAAATCAAAAAAAACATGCGGTATTAGATCAGATACAAAAAAAAATATAATAAATATTTGTTAAAGCTTATAATGAAAGTAAGACTCTTGATGTTTATTAGTTATATCCTATTGTTTGTGTAACGCTAACGTTTCCCAAATAATAAATGATCAAACAAAAAAGCGTTTAATGATTTTCAAAAACTATTGTCAACAGTTATTATATCCATCAATAATTACTAACAGAATTTATTTCATCAAGGTTATTAATTTATTAAATACCTCCATCATCAAGAAATTTTTCTACGTTACAATAATCAATATATACTAGAACAGACAAAGCTTTCTTTTGAACAAGCCATCGCAATCTCGGTCATCATAGGATGTAAAGAATTCACTTGGAATAAATAATCTCACGGCTAATGGAATACCTAATATATTATAAACTTGCTCATATAAAAATTAATACGTTTAAATTGTTCTTGATAAATCAATAGTCGCTACAACTGTTGTCAACAGGATAACTGCCGCATATATTACAATAAAATGCGTTACCTAATTCTGCCGCCGCTAACTCTGGTGAATGATCTATACCATCTCCAACCATCGCAACTATATTCAGTTACCTTCAAATTGAAGTGATTGAATTATTTGTGCTTTTCCATTTGGTGATGCCCAAGCTGTGAGTAATTCATCGCGACAGCTATTCAGGCCCAGCTGCTACTTTAGCTTAAGGTTTAACTGCGTCAGATAAGAATATACAAATGATTTATTTACAGCCACCAATACGGCGGTTCTTCCAAATCGAACTTGCGAATTCCTTGATAATCAACGTTACATCTGGAAATAAATATTTGATGTTGAATAGAAAGGAACCTTGCGTTTCCAATCAATACAGAATGACTATGATGTGGTGTCATTGTAGCTGTTAAAGCAGTATATGAAGTTCTTAGAACTACATTACACTCATTACCTAATCCAGCGATATTTTAACATACATTTCAATATCTTTCCATAGTTCACAAAGTAATCTTCCAAGAGGATATTCCCTTGAAGATTCGTCTGCTCCAACAATCACGATTAAGATTCTTTAGTCGATTCCAAGTTATTCTTTATATTTCAAAATGTGTAACATCTGTTGATTTGTTGTAAGCGTATCGGTCTTATCGAAGTGATCTTTGTCCTGCCTCCTCCTTCCACTTTGCGCTCCAATACCAGTTCGAACCATAACAGCCGTCGGTGTACTAAGAGCAATGCACATGGACATGCAACTAAATACATAACATGAGACAAACTATGAAATAATTGTTGCTACCCTTAAAAATTTCCGGAAAATTTTATAGATCTCGCGAGTATCATCTCCTAACCTACGAATTTAAGCAAGATCAATCCAATAACTACAGACACAAAATAATCCGTGACGGTATTGGCAAATTCTTATATCGAAGCTTTAGATGTTTGAGCTTCTTCAACAATTTGAGACAAGACTGTATCTTTCCCAGAATGAGTAACTTCTGCATCAAAAGTTCCTTAATCCGTACCACCTATCATTAAATCTTCCGGTTGTTTATTAAAAGGATTGACTTCCACTGCAACCATGATTCATCGACGCTTAAGTAACTATTTATCGGCTGGAACCTTACAATCTTTACGATATCACCAACTTGAACTAATTCGGTTCAATATATTCCGAAAGGTAAATGAACTTGCCCTGGAAACCAGTAGGAAAACTTAGTGACCTATAAAATGCTGAACGATTTCTCTTGTACGAGTCAAAGTTCTAATTGCGTTTTTTGATTATTATCGGAGATAAGAGCGTCAAAATTCATCAATACTTTCAATGTGTTCGAACTCCTTCTCATTCAATTACTTGAGCATGATCGGGACTTTCATCCCATAAATTTGAAGATCAACGTTTTGGTTTAATTGGAGTCTCTATTAAATTGGATGCCGATTGTTAATATAAAAAGATCGAATCATTCTTCGCTGTCGCTCTTCAGAGAGCAAAGATACTTTGATTGACAATCCAGCGGCGCCATGGTAATTTTCTCGATGCTGTTCACGCAAGAACAAGTCATCTCAAGTACTTGTATCTGACAAAATATTATCTGAATCAAAGTATTTGTTAATAGTGAAATGAATCTTCCGGTTGTGAACTCTTTAATGTTAAAAAGTTAAATTGTTATTTGATCGTCAAACTACAGTCATTTTTTGAATTTTGTCAATATTATTTATATTTTCTTGGTACGTCAAAACTAAAAATATTCAATACCTCAAAATCTTCATAATCTTTAATCAATTTCTTTTTAAAATCAAATATCTCCCACTCATTTTTAATCTCACATCCAATATTGATTATTCCGTGTGTATCCTCAAAGGCGTTTTTAATAGAATTGACACAAGACATACACGTCATTCCTTTCATTGGCAACGTAATGGTTGGTTTTTTTGTGAATCGTGATTTGATCGACATATCCACAATTTCGATCGTTTATATTTTTGTAATTTTCTCATTGAAAGAAATTGTCGCTTCATTATTTCTAAATTTACACTACGATTCCTGATAACGAAGAAACTGGATTAGTTATTGAATTAACATAAGACTGACATGAATTAGAATCACTTCTACTTCAACGAAATGCTGTTGAAATATCAATGGAGAAGCTATGGTTGAAGTAAATTCTTGTAAATCCCCGGGTGATATTAATATTACTATAATCTCATGTCGATTAGCCAAGGAACATTTGGATTTCGAATTTTTTTGGTCCGTTGATCCATTTGTTTGATCCGAACTTCAAATGATTTTGAGTCGGATCAGAAGAAATCGGAAGAATTAAATAGGACTATTTGTTTCTTTCTTTATAAAAATAATAAAGGGAATGATTATTATTACTATTTACAAAAAAGAAATGGAAAAATATGATAATTCTACTATGTATAAGCAAAAATTTATATTTCTTTGTTCGAAAATAGAGAGAAAATTTTTTTTTGTAATACACACAACTTACGTAAAAAAATTAAAAAAAAAACGGGAAATTTTATTATTTAATTTTTGATTTAATCAAATGAAATTTTGACAATAATTTTAAACGAGAAATTATATTATACTCTAAAGACTTCCGAAATTTGAGATTAACTCATTCTGTTTAAATCGTGTTCACATGTTTCAAATGTTTCACAATGTTTCATGTCCAAATTAAAACGGGTAAAAATTTTCAGGGGTTTAAAATTTTTTACAAAAACCGTACCTTACAACAATGATATGTATTGGAAGCTGGAAGCACATTTGGACTTCCATCAAAGGGGGTAAATAAAGTATAGTTGTATGAATGTATGATTTCCTATTTTTAGAAAAAAAAATTTTTTTTTTCGTCTTTTTTTTTTTTTTTTATTTTTATTTTATTTTTTACTTCGAACTTTCATTTTATTTTCTGGTAAAGCTGAAGTTCTTTTATTTAAATTTACTTTAAGAAATGATATAAACCCTTATTTCATTTCTTTTTTAAGGAACGGTTCCTTTCTTCGACTTAGCTTCTTGGACTTGAAATTGGCAGTAAGTTTTTTTAGGCGGGCGTGGTTTTGGTGACGTTAATATTTTGAAATAATACTAATGCCTTATTTTTTTTATTTTTCTAGTTCTATACTTTGAAACGGAACTATGAAAGTAAGTGTCTTTGAGTGTGTGTAGTAGTGGTTATTGGAATTACAAAGCAACAATCAAGCCTCCTTTTTATTTTATTATTTAGCTTTCAGGCACCTAAACGGTAAGGGCGGACATCTACTGATTAATGGGATTTTGAAATGGAACTATGAATGTAAGCATCTTTAGGTGGGTGTAAATTTGTTAATGGTATCAGTTATAAAGCACTATTAAATACTTACTTTATTTTTTGTTTCTCAGATACATAACTAGGTGGAGGAATTAAGAGTAGACAACTATAATAATTTATGAGAAAATATTAATGTCTCAATGTTTTTATGTTTAGAATTTCATATTAATTTGTTACTTGTATAGACTTGTATTGAATTAATTAAATAAAATTGAATTTGTAAATTGTGATAAATATGTTATTTTTTATTATTTTTTCGATTTTTCGATATATTATAGTAATAATCAAATTTAGTTAGATTGATATTAATTGATAATCTTCCATATTACAATATGAAACACGATTACGATTGTACTTTATAACATCAGTTTATATAAATAAATGAATTTCCCGAAAATAATTAACTTGGGAAAAAGGTTAGTAAATAACTTAATTCTGGAAAATGTTTGAAAATAATTTTAATTTAGGGAAAAGATATTTTTGGAAGTTTATTTATTGATTTGCTAATTATTTAATTAAACAATAGTTTTTTTTGTAGATATTAAATGAAAATTTCCCACCTGTAAGTTAATAATTTAAATGAAAATTTTCCGTGAGTAACTATAAATGGGCTTTGGAACTGTTAGGGACAGAAGTTGGTATTTTTTTGCAATCACGAATTTTTTATTTAACTATAATTGGTTTTTTTCCATCAAAACAATTAATAAAACCAAATTTTTTATTTATTTTTTTATCTAGATAAATTATAATTAGGCCTTTTAAATTGAATTTATAGAACTCGCATGACACGAAATTTTGATCAGCATAAAAATACATTTTTCGAAATATTTTTTCAAATCTCTCACAAGCTTTATAATGTCTTCTATTATTGAACTTTCAGATATAGATGAATATAATGCCAAAGACTTTGCTAAAAAAGTTAGTAAATATTATTATTATTTTTTTTTTTTTTTACTAAAATATAACAAACAAAATAAAATAGAGTGAAGAGTTTAATAAAAGTGATGAAAGTGAATTAGAAAATGAAGAAACATTTTCTTTCCCAATTACGAGTTCCAAAAGTTATATATACAACCGTTCCTGTAGAATATCCAGATACATTTCTAGAAGGAGTTGCAACAATATATAATGTAACTGGTTGGGAAAATCCTATGGATGCATTTTTAGATATAAGTATCATATATTTTCTTTTAATTTAATAATAGAATCTAAAATTTTGTCTAAAATTTTTTCTTTATTATAAAAAAGATCCAATATTCAACAAATGGTTTAGGTAGCATCACAAATATTCAAGAATGTCCATTTTTTGGTGGAATACCTGTGAAAAAAATCAAAGAAAATGTGAAGGCATTAAATTTTGTGAATTTACTGATACAGAATTTATTAATCAAGAATATTGCAGTGTTAACCTTGACTCAGAAATTTTCCAACAATATAGACAACAAAATAATAATAATATTAATGAAGCTAAAATATACACGTTGTTACAATGGTTTCGTAGCTTCAAATAAAATCTCAAAATAGTAAATAAAATTAAGACAATTACTCAAGAAATTACAAGTGAGGATTCACAATAACGTCAAAGATTATTCTTAATATAAAACACGTAAGATAATACACAAAAATAAACACAAAGTTAACTTAAAGATATTTCAGAGATTATGCTTCAGAGACTCTAAGTCAATACAATGAATTAATACAATATCATACAAAGGGTTTACTAACAATAATTAAAGGAATTGCATAAATGCAAAAGGTCACAGATAATTTATAACAATTTCAAAGGGTTTGCAAAGAATAAGTTTATACTTAATTAATTATACTCCTTTATTAATATAATATAAGTTCATTATCTAAAAGATTAACATCTTGTTGGTGTTGAGACTCAAAGAAAATACATTGATATTTATACATGTTGAATAAATAATAAAATAACTAACTAAATATATCAAAGGAAATAAAGTTGTCATTTCTCTAGGTAATAAAGTTACTGTGTCAATAAAATTGCTAGATCTGCAGGTAACTAAATGTACATCTATGATTTACGTGATTATCAAGAGTAATAAAATTAATATCTAAGGATTTGCATAATTAATCAATGACAATAAAATGGATAAAATGATTTTTATAAAAGATCTATATGATAATAAAATTAACTTCCTATTCTACTAATTAAATCTATCTAAAATTTTACCTGTCACAACATAAGTTTTTAATTATTTCTAATTTTAATAAATAATATAAATAAAATTATTTTGATTATTTATTTAATATTTTTTCTTAGTTTATTTTTAGCGGCAAAAGAAACATCTTGTAACTTTAAAAAAAATAATATATTTTGTAATGGAGATCCTCACATTGAAAAAATAACAGATTATCAAATAAATATTGTATCATATTTTATTGGTTATAATAAATATAAATTAGGTGAAAAATAGTATAAATTTATTAAAATCAAACAAGAAGAAGTTGATATTTCATTACTTTAGAGTTTATTTGCAGGTACTGCATCTGTAAGTATTATTTTTTCTTTTTTTTAAAAAAATTGAAAATTTATTTTGCTTTTTAATTTAAATTTTATATTTAAATATAAATTTTTTATTAATAATAATAATATTAAAAAATTATTTAATTTTTTAGATAAAAGAAACAGTAAATAAATGTAGTATAATTGTACTTAAAAGTTGTAAACGAAGAAAATGTGATAATTATTTAAATTTATTTTTATTTTATTTAGATATAATACATTCAAATGATAGAACTATAGTTTATAGCAAAATAATTGATAAGCCTTATGAAGTGCGTTTTATCAAATTTGTTCCTCATGATTTTAATAAATGTCTATTTATAGCACCTGTATGTATTGAAATATAAAATTATTCTCTGTCATCACCAGAAAAAATTCCTTCTGAAATTAATAATAATTTAGAATCTTTAATCAAAAAAGCTATTCAATAAAATGATGATATTACTTCAAGATCAATTTATCAGATATATAATATTATTAATATTTATTTATTTATTAATTAGTTTAATTATTAATTAATTTAATTTTAAATATTAATAAGCAATTTAATTAGAACCTATTTTAGTAAGAAAACTTTAGCAGAAGTTCATTTTTCTCTTAATAATATAGACAAATTATATTATTTAATAGATAAAACTTATCAAACTTTACATCTTTTTAGACAAGGAATTATAGATATCTATCATAATTTATCAAATTCTAATTCTAATTTAATAAATTATGTTCGTAAAATTGGTAAATTTTTTTTTTATATTATTTAATTTAATTATATAATTTAAATTAAACTATTTATAATACTATTTTTATTTTATTTTTAATCTTTTTTCAAATAATAGTCAAGTTATTATTATTTGTATGTGATCAAGCTAAAAAGTTAATTATATTTGATTATTTTTAAACTGATGTTAGTTTTAAATGAGTAAAAGAGAAAATTAATGAATTTTAAATAAATACATATGATTCTGAATATCATTTAAGTAAGTAAAATTTTATTTATTATAGCAATTAATTTAAATATTATTAAATAATATATATTACTAATTATAATTTTATTTTAAATATTATTATTTTGTCGAATATTTACTAATATTTTTACTGCTGAAGGATAGCATAGATTATTTTCATCTTTATTTCAAATAATCCATGAAATAAGTATTTAATATTTGAAATTTCAGCATATTCATAATAGTAGTATCAAATGCATTTTAACTGATTTAGATTCAGTATAAGCTAGAGGGTTAGAATTAGTATTATATAATTTCGATAATACAAAAAATTGGAAAATACATTTAACATTTATTCTTAAATTATGTCTTATACATTTTGAAAGGTATTTATAAAATTTGTATTTATTTGCATATTTTTATGATAGATTAATTTTTTTAATTTTAATTTAATTAATTTTTTAGAAATTTACATCATAAAACTTTTGATATAAATACAAAAAATTTAATTAGATAAATTCCTGTTGCAACAAATAAAAATCAAGTTTATAAACTTTTATAATAAATAGAAAATATAAATGATAATGGAATTAAAGATATTTATTATTATTTTTTTTTTAAATATTATAATTATCAAAATTTAAAATTTTTTTTTTTATAGAATGATTGAATTATTATCAATAACTATATATTAATCATGAAATTTGATGTAAAAGTAGATGAAATACCAATAATGCAGAAGTAGCTCATTCAATAGTTAATAGAGAAGACAAACAGTTGAAGTTATTATCAAATATTTTAAAATAAGTTAATTTTTTAATTATAGTAATTACAATTAAAAAACTAACTAATTATAAATTAATTTAAAGAGAAAAAAGATATGATACAAGATGTTTTATAATATTTGAAATTCATGAGAAAAAAGAGGTTCCTTATACTTATAGGGAAAAAAATGAGATTAAAAGAGTTAAGATTTAATTATATGTAAAAGTAAGTAAAATTTATATTTATATTTGTTAATCAATTTTATTTATTTATATAATTAATAATTTTTTATGATACATAGTTTCTCGTATCCAAAAAATAAAGAAATTTATGATAAATTAGCATTATCTATTAAATTATCAAAGAAAAGAAAGGCATCTCTATCTGTTAATAAAAATAAGTAAAAAAGAAATTAAGAGGATAATGTTTTATTAGAAGATAAAAGAAAGGTATTATATAAAGAAATTCATAAAAAGAATTTTGAATTAGAGCTTAAAGAAAGGGAAATGAATTTAAAAGAGTGTGAAATTAAAGTAAGAATTGCTGAAGCTAAAGCATGATTAATAGAAAATAAAGCTGAAATATTAGAATTAGAAAATCAACAAAAAATTAGCTTAATATTATATGTTAAAGATGAATTATTTTTGAAATGTAAATTTAGTCTTATTAGAAAGAAGTATGAAAATTATTACAAAAATATATTGAATTCGATTATATAAAATTTTTTATAACAAGTGTTAAAAATAAGTAATTAATGCAATACTTTATATAATAAACTAAAGAGCCTTTATAATAAATTATTAAAAAAATTCTTTTTTAATAAAAGATACAGATTATCAGCCCTTAAACTTAAAATATATATAAATTCAATTCATTTACTGAATTTTACAAAATTTATTTAAACAATTTAAATAATTTGCATTATTGCATAATGCCATAATTAAAATCAATCAAAATAGATTTCATTCAAATCTAATGTAAACTCATTAGAAAGGTAAAATTTTCCTATTTTATTCAAATATATTAATTTGAAAAGTATTTAATCTTAAATAGTTAAACTTTTATTTTTTAAAGTGAAGTTTAGTTTATTTTTTTAGAAAAGCAAAGGAAAGCAGTTTTCTAAATAAAAAAGGCTAATTTTATTTGTATCTGATAGTCTAATTATTAATCAAATAATAATAGTATTATTTTATAATACTATACTAATCGTATATCTAATTTAATCATTAAAATTAACAAAATAAATTTAGATTATAAATGGCTTAACATTAAATAAAATAATATTCATTATTATAATTATATTAATATTAATAAATACAGTAAAAATTTTTACGAATTTATGTATTAATATTTTTTTTATTTTATTTTTTTTTTTTGGTCAGATAAATTTAATAAATTTCCTATTGGTTAATAATAATATATATTCATATGATATTTTAATTTCATATATACATTTATTCATATATATATACATCATTTATATATATATATATATAGCATAAATATATGTATGTATAAATAAAATACCATATAACATACTTTCTTAAGCATACACTATACATACATTACTATATATATATACATTAGTCACCATATCATATTTATTTTTGTTACCCCTAATTTAAATTAATGAAGGTAAATATAATAGTAAATATAATTAATCAACATATATAATAATCTATTAATTATACTCACTAATTATTCAAGTATTAGAAAGAATAAATAGTAAAAATATTTATAAATTGTTTAAATATTAGACTTTGCTATAAATTATACCATATTAATTAATTGTAAAATTTCTTAAATATAAATATATTATAATAGAATCAGTTTCAGATACTCCTACTAGTGCCTAAAATTTAAATTCAGAATTATGTATAGTACTATTCTTACAATTTTGAAGTGTGCTAATTACACACCATTAGTAAACTAATATGCAGTTATAAAAAAAATAAATTTACAATATTATTTTTATTAAATTTTCAAAAATTAACATAATTACATAATTTTATTAAATATGTTATTCTTTAAAATACCAATTCTCATAAACTAATTCAAAATCAAATAAATTTATAGGAGGACCATTCATTTTTATTATTAAATGATCATTTAAAGTTTCTAAATTCATTTGATTATGAATTTGAGTTTTGATAAGATTTTGTTAAGAAAAAACTTATTCAACATTTGTATTTGAAATTGGAATTACTAAAATAATTTTTACTAATATAGAAGTGGTAGAGTAATTAGAAATAAAAGATGTTTGTGAAAAGATTTTTTACCATACTTCAATAAAACATAAATTTTGAAAATTTTTTAAATAAAATTTAACCAATTTCCATTCACTTTTTAAAGTCTTTTTATCTAATAATGAATTAAATATTGTATTATCTTGTACTTTTTCAGTCTCATAAAAGTCATATAAAATATTAATCTCTTCTTTACCATAATCTATAAGATCTTTATTTTCTGTTGGAAGTTGCTATAAATCATAAATTTACATAATTCAATATAACTCTCAATTTGGAAAATGACTTTTAAGACTTGTAATAATAGCATTAGAAAAATCATAAATAAAAGAAGGAATATTTGATTTTGATATGTTATTATATAATAAATAATTTTGCAAATTAGCCCTATATGTGAGATCTATATTATTGATTCTGATAAATTGTAATTGAATAGCTTCAATCATCATATTTAAATTATTTTATACATCTGATAATGTTACATAATCTGATTGAAAACTTTGAATTAATTTGCTTAAAATAAAGAAAAAATCAGGTAAAAATATCATAATAATTTCAAATTCTTCATCAATAGTGAATAATATTTTCAAGTATCAAAGTATTATATAATATATCTTTAAGAAGTGCTTCTTTTACTGATTCAATAATTTTATGAAAATTATTAATAACATTTGAAAAAGAAAGCTATCTCGTTGAATTAATCTTTAAGAGGACCAATTCTAGTTTTTTTAATATATTTTGAATTAGCTTGAGATTAAGTAACCATTTGTATGAATTACTAAAATATCTATAGATATTTTTTAATATCTTATCATAATTTTTGAAATATGAAACTTATTCTACAGCATCTTCATCAATATAATAATTTTCTATTATAAATGGATTTAATTTTTTTAATCTTGTAGCAACTCTATTTTGATAATCTAATATTATGCTTGTATCATCACTTCCAAAGTGATTTAAATTATTTATATCAAGCATCTTTACTACTATGAATTGTTGAAGTTCATTCATAATTAATTTTGCACCATAATTATCCAATTTAATTATACCTAAGTATCGTAAAACTGAAACATTATTTGATATATATTTAATCACAATTGCCAGATTTTTTGCAGTAATGCATATACTTTTATCATTCATAATACTCCAGTTTTTAGAATTTTTGATATCATTTATTATTTCTCTTTTAATAGTAGCTGCTATAAACTTCAAAAAATCTCGTACTATAACTGAATTTTTATAAATTGTATAACTATTTGAAAAATTATCAATAAAAACTGCTAAATTCAATTTTTATATAACACATGATTCATGAAGCTCATTTTGGTTATTAATTTGCAGATGAATTAATTAACATAATTCTGGATAAATATTTAGTGCTTAATCATGTTTTGAAAAAAATATGTATTGTGTATAAGACTAATTATTTTTAATTTTTCTTCTCTGAGTTGTCAAATAAATCCTTATATACTTGAAGTTTGAGATTTGTTTTGAGCTATCATAGCAATTTTATGATCCTTAATATCCATATAACATTTAAGTATTTGCTTTTGATATGATTGTATACCCATCGTAAAAATATTTTCTTTTTTATTTACGCTAGCTACAAAATATTATCACCTTTTTATCACTATCTTCGCTTTACTCAAGCCAAGGATAAATTTGTAACCAATTTGGATCAAAATTTTCACGTAATTTTTTATTAAATGAAAAAAAT